GATTGACATTTTGTGGCCAATTAGCTACTTTATAAAATTAGTCGTTTTGCAAACTTGGAATTTTCGTTAAGACTCGGGTTAAACCCAAATAAAACTGTTTTGTAATTAATAAATAGAAATAATAAAATCTAAAAATATTTATGTATCACAATATTGGTAAATTAAAAAAAAATATATTCTATAACCTTAGACAGGTTCTCATTATTATCTCTGCAGATTAATCAAGTGATAAAGTTATTTGTATTGTGAATGGAATTTGTGTAGGTATATTATTTGTTTTTGTGCTTTTACTCCAATTTTGAAAGTGGAAGTAACACTTGGAATACCCAATACATTATTTATTTAGGGTAATTAAGTAACATAGAAATTTCCGTATAAATTAGCCTCTACAAGAATTAACTTTGCACTTTGGAATTTAGCAAAATAAAACTTTCTGCTCGCATCACATTAACCTTTCCCTCAGAATTGTACGTGTACCTTGTAAGCATGGCAGATCTATGTTACTTCCCATTGACTTCCGATTTAACAATTCCACTGTGTGTATCGATTCGGAATATTTAAACATAATCGAAGATATGTGCCTAATTTGCATATAAGTTTACGCGGAACGTAATTTAATTCGAATGTTAACAATCGATTATTGTTTCCACGCATCTTCTAGTCGAAGGTTGCGTTCAAGGTTTGATAAAAATGCCTTAAAGGATACAGATCGAAATTTTAAGGATTTCCGTTTTTTAATCGCTTATTGATCTTGCTACGCGCTAATTAAATTAATAACCAAAACAATAAGGACAACGAACTTTGCCTCACCGAAATACAAAATCATCAGCTTTGTAAACACAGTCACGTGAGTGATCTTTAAAATAACTCCGGTCATGTTTTCACAAAATTAAATTTGTATGTGTATACAGATTTTTACTACGAAAGTTGAGTTTAGTGCATCCACATATCGAAAAAAATTAAAAACAATTTTAACAAACAAATAATGACGTCTTATGTATTTATAGAAATTAATTGATTTTTATTTCAGATGTAAACGTAAAATTGTATATTTTAGTGTTTGATACACCGTCAACTCTGGAAACGAATGCAAAAATATTTACGATTAATTTTTAAAAGATTGGGCTAATTGGGTCATCGACTAACTCAGATTTAATAATAAAGTGATAAGACTGGTCTTGAAACTCAAGTTAAAATAAATAATAAATGCTAATAAGTTTCGTTTTATTTTTTTAAACTAATTTTGCAATGCTATTTTATTATAAATATTGATTTTTAAGTGTATACTTATCCCTCCAAATTTGTGTTTGTTCGTTTTACCAAATCGGTAACTAATAAAACAAAAGGCAAACGTATAAAGCAAGTCAAGGTCAATTTTTAACATTTATCAATAGGTATCTACAGCCATTTATTTTTAATAAGCAATTTATAGTAGTTGTATCAGATCTAATATGTACAGTCAAGTGCAAAGAAAATGTCCGCGTCATATTTCTTATTACAATAGCCGGTAATTTTTCTGTACAAAATTTTTCACAAAAATTTATTTTTATTAAACTTGAACTATTTTGTGATTAACAGCGAAACTGTTTTTATTATGATGTTTTCTTCAATAACTTAAATGTTTCGTCTGTACGAACATTCAGATAACAAAATTAATTGTTTAAAAATTGCTGAAACCAAGGCAGATCTTACATTAGGCAAAAAATGGATCTTTATTATTTTACCCCTTTGCCTTTCATTAGATGAATTGTTACCTTAATTTTTTGTATTTTGTTTATGTTTTATTATTATTTTTCGTAGTTGTAAATGTAAATGTGTAAATGTCAGAGAATGCACAAAGTTTTCTTGTTTTTACTTTTTAAATTTTTTTTGTATTTTTTTATTTTTTTTTGGTATAAACCAAAATGTAGAATTTATAGAAATTATAACCAAAAAATAATCAATAAGGAAATACACATCCTTAAATAGATTTTTTTTTCATACAAAAAGTATGAAACTAAACGTTATTTTTAATCATATTTGTCTTCAGAAAATAATAATTAATAAAAATTAAAGAGGTATAGAAAATGTGATCGTGGTTTGAGAATTAAATTTTGTTTTGTTTTTGAGTTAGGTATGCGATTTTTCTCAAAATGGCAATTTTTTTTTGAAAAAAATTAAATAATATGTAGATGGTTTGTTGTAATCCTTTGTAAAAAAAGATCAAAAACAAAAAAGATGTCTATATGTCTATTGAAGTGGCTTTATTTGTAACCGGAGTTGAAATACTTCTAGTTCTAGAAGTTGAAATGTCCACAGGGGCGGCTCGATTGTGTCATGACTATGAAGTCATTTGAAGCATTTTAAACGGTAAAATCACGGTTTATTTATCAATAGTTACACGAATTATTTAATAATTAAATTATTCCTATTGAAAAAGCCTCGAAAAAAACGCAATAACAAAATTATTAGTATTATCCAATATTTAACCGGTGCCACTGTGGTGTAACACTAGAGTCGCCTATGTGCATGGATGAAGCTGTCAAAATCAAAAATAGCAAAATGGCCATTCATCGTTAAAAAGGAGTCCAAATTTCAGTGTCTTTAATCCGCTTGAAGATAAAATAGTATATACAAAAAGATTCACGTCTACTCTTGATGAAACAGGTGCATTTTTTTCTATCAATTTGACGTTTCTGACTCATCCAACTTATTTACATCGATTTTTATCTATTTTATCAAAACTAGATACTATAGCACATACCAGGTAAACAGAAAATACATAGGTATAAAAGCAAACGTTTTTGGTTTAAACTTTGTACAATTATGGCCACGCAATTTTAAACATATTATGTCAATTCAAAAAATGTCAATGTTAGCCACGCTTTATTGTCATTATGATTGACGTTTCAACCTAAAATTTGAAAGTTTTAGTTGAAATTTATTTTTGGCGTCGATTTTCCGATACAATAATGCCAGCAGTATATGTATACAAGGTGATTCTTTTAGGACCTACATTAGAAACTTTTTAACTTCTAATGCAGATAGAATTTTGAAATTTTGTACACAACCCAAATCAACCAGTCTGAGTTCAACTAAATTATTTTCAAAAGGGCTGAACTTCCGGAACTACGAGAAATTGGCGCCAACTTTGAAATTTTAAATGGTAACCAATTATTTTTATTGCATTTTTGAATTCTCCTCTTCAAACTGAGTAAAATGTACCTAGTTATTAGTACTTATCTGTCATAGTTTTTGACATATGTCAATTTTTTGCTCAAAATTTTCATTTGTAGAGGTTTATTAAAAACATCACAGCTCTTGAACCGTTTGCAATAAGTAAATAATTTTTCTTGCATTTGATAACCCAAGGTTCGAAGAGTTTCCTAAAATTTTCAAAATTGTCAACTGTCAAATTGCAAAGCTTATATGATTTTTTGAAAATAATATTTAACAAACAGTTATAACTCAATTTTTTCAAATAAAATGACCCTATTTTCTCAACGGCAATCGAAAGTACATCGATTTGTAGAAGGACTTTTATCAACATGTCCTATACCCATTTCTTACAGTTTCTGAAATAATCACGAAAAACGTGTTTTTGTTTTTTATTTTTATAGTAAATCACGTAGGCTTTGGAAAATGATCAAGACGAACTAAAGATTTATTAGTCTACACAACACCCATCCGGAATTATGAAGAATTGAGGCAAGGATTGAGGCGGCATTTAATAATCTTCAACCAAATAAACTAATGGAAGCTACTCAAATCAGTTCACCATCGAGTTTTGACTGTTTGAAAATGGTAAACATATCGAACATTTGTATTAATTATGGTATATCTTATTGTATTTTTCCAAAGCCTACGTGATTAACTATAAAAATAAAAACATTAACATGTTTTTTGTGATTATTTCAAAAACTGTAAGAGATAGGTATAGGACATGTTGATAAAAGTCCTTCTACAAATTAATGTAGTTTTGATTGCCGTTGAGAAAATAGAGTCATTTCATTTGAAAAAAACTGAGTTAAAGCTGTTTGTTAATGATCATTTTCAAAAAATCATACTAGCCTTGCAATTTGACAGTCGACAATTTTGAAAATTCTAGAAAATTTTTCGAACCTTTGGTTTTCGAATGCAACAAAAAATATTCACTTATCGCAAAGGGTTCAAAAGCTGTGATATTTTGAATGAACCCCTGCAAGTGAAAATTTTGACCAAAAAATTGACATATGTCAAAAACTATGATAGTTAAGTACTAACAACTAGGTACATTTTACTTAGTTTAAAGAGGAGAATTCAAAAATGCAATAAAAATAAGTGGGTACCATTTAAAATTTCAAAGTTGGCGCCAATTTCTCGTAGTTCCGGAAGTTCAGCCATTTTGAAAATAATTTAGTTGAACTCAGACTGGTTCATTTGGGTTGTGTACAAAATTTCAAATTCCTATCTGCATTAGAAGTTAAAAAGTTTCTAATGTAGGCCCTAAAAGAATCACCTTGTATGTAGTTCAATAAATTACATATTTTGATTTGTTGTCATTTTTTATCTAACTGTCAAGACAAAAATTACAAAAACCGAAAGTGTAGTTGTACAAAAGGCCCGTTTTACATTTTTATGTAAATCAAATGACAAATCGTCCAAAATTCCGGTCCGTAATAGTAGACATTTTTCAAAAACTAATTTAAAAATAATAAAGTTTGTACTATAAAAAAGTGGATAAATCATTAATTATTTTTTGTTAATATGTTACAACTGTTTTATAATATCAAAAATGTAAAAAAAAATTATTCAAAAAAAGTCAAACGAGCTTTTTTCAAAATATGCAGACGTGAGAATATCTAAAAATAGAATCTATAAGGTAAAAGTCAAGTCGAAAAACCGTCAATTGCATTAATTCAAGCAGAAAAAAGTAATGCTGAAATTATTTCGTCGCCAAAAAAACTCTCCCTTCCAGTAACTAAGTATCAAATCCTCTACATATAAATCGCATGACAAAGCGTTCGCACTCACAGTATTATCTCGCGCGTCGCGAGTTACATATCACCGGTATCACCACCGTCGACCAAATTGGACGTGTCACTAATTTATAAAAGCAAATATTAGTTAGATGATAGAACCAGTTTGGTCATAGTGATCCTTACTCGAGCCCAAAATTCATGTCGAAATAACGAAACACGCGAATGACGACTCAGTGCTTTTCGATAAGGAGATAACGCGAAAACAATTAGTTCAAAATGAGGCACACAGTGATCAGTTTCACCCTACTTACCGTACTTCTTCAGCTTTCGAAAAGCGCGCCCAGTGGAAGCTCTGCACTCGTAAGTATTCTTTTAAGTCGTGTTACACCTGTGGCGCACCCAAGGTCCGTCAATATTTGCAATGTTTGTATTGAAACTGGGGGCTAACAAACTCGGTTTTACTGCCAGTAAAATATTTTTTTTAATCAACAATTAATTGAATTATTTGGGTTTCTTTTGAAAAATTGGGTCTAGTTTTATCACACAAAGAGATAAGTTGTGTACACAATGCTCCAAAATAAATGAATCATACGTCAGCGAGACGCGATGAATAAACGTGTTTTCTGGTATAACTTCTATTCTATCAAGTATTAGTTTTGTTGACGCACATGGAAAAACTGTAAATTTCAATAATTAGTCTTGCGGAATTTTGCCACTCTTAATAGCGCCGAATTATGATAATGACAATCGCTGAATGATTCATGTTCTGAGTCGGTGTCTTTAGATAAATTCGTCATCAATAAGATGTGCAACTGGACCGGAAGTTTGGGGATTTAAATGAGTGCTAATAATTGAAATTAGCACTATTTGCCCTTGTCCTGTAATTGAATTAGAGTCAAATTGCATGATTTATCAATCCTTTGGGCAATTTTTTCCGCTGTAAATTTCGGCATGTTTGAAATAATTACGTGACGAATGAATTACCTGCTTATTAGCCTCGACTGGTACATCACAAAAATGAATTAAATGGAGATCTTTTGACATAACCGAGCACTTCCTCTGTGCATTTGGCATATTCAAGGTGAATTCCGCTATTTCCGGGTAGACCATTTTATTGGAAAACCTTGACAATTATCATTAGCATGCGACACAGTACCTGCGTGTACCTTCCGATTTTGTTAATTACTGAGATTTTATTTAATAAACATGAAATTAATTTACTAAAGTTATGTAAGGGGTTTGAATTGTAACAATCGACGTGATTAGCGAAACTATTGAAAGAAAGTTATGTAAGGTTTGGAACAAAAATCAAACCTGATGAAATTGCGATCGACCAAGCAAGAATTATAGAGGCTGAAATTGGGTATGAAATTCTGATATAATCCTTTTTTCTGCGTTGATTTGGTGCTCTATTTTTCGCTTTCCCCCAAATGGAAAGCTTAATGATAAAATGCAAAACAATTTCACTTAGTGGAAATGGGATGGAACAGTTGTAAGGGCTATCTAGAAAAAATGATAAGAGCAGACAATTTCATTGTAAGTTTATCACTGTTTTGTAATTTTTTAACTATTTTACTCGCATTCCTTAACTAAATTTCACGTGGACTAGTAAGTACATACTGTTATCACTAAATTATTATTGGGTTACTAGGTGTAATATGTATATGATAAAAACTGTTGTCATCAATGTCAAAATTTACATGGTTGTTATGCTTTTAATAAATTAGTTTATATGGGGTGATTCAAAAAGGTGTGACATAATTTTAACCACGAATACCCTTCTTCAAATGAAAATAGATAGCACAGTATTTATTGAACCACCTAAAAAAATATAAAAATTACTGCTTTTTAATAACCGGTACGAAAAAATGATTTTACTTTGGATTTAAGAAATTGAAATTAATGTGACAACATTGACAGAGATGTCATTTGTGGTGGATTGTTTCCAAGATAACGGTACGCTCAAAATTCATAAATTCTGATTTTGCAGCATTTGAAGTCATTTTATCATACTGATTTTTGGAAAGCTGTAATTTTTCAATTTTTTGAGGTGGGGAATCTATTCTTATTTGTAGAGGGGTATTTGTGGTTAAAATTATGCCACACATTTTTGAATCACCCAATTAATTAATTAATTTTTAATGGAATATATTTTAAAATAAGATATTTAATTTTTGTTATGTAGATAGTACAGGGTGTATCCAATAATAGTTTCTATGTTATTTTCTATGTTTCTATGTTGTTTAAAATGCAAAAATGACCACTAAATGCACTATACTGTTGTCATAGGGATCAAGCAAATTTTTTTTATTTTGGCTTTTATTTTCACAATAGGAAATGTTCGAAATATTTACCATTATAAAAAAAACATGCATTTAAAAAAATATTTTTACATTTTTCAACATTATTTTTTACAAGGTTGCAAATTATCTATAACAATTTATGAATAAAATAAATATTTTTTCTTCAAAGTTGAATTTTACTTCGTTCAGAAAATAAAACTTGTATAGAGTAATTAGGCATTAGAAACTTTTACACATTAGGTATCATTTGGTAAATTGAAAAAAAAGCTACAAGCTATTTCTCAAAATTATAAGATTCAGGTTCTAACATGTTAGATGTAGCTTAGCTACTAAAACTGTAGCTTAGCTATTGTCCAGTTTTGCTTCTGAAATCTGTAACCATCTAAAGATGTGAATAGAGAAACTTTTAGTTGAGACACCCTGTATAAAGTGTAGATTAAACTGATATTCAAAAAAAAATACATATCCTAGAAAATATTGAAAAAAACCAGGTCAAATAACATTATTAGGAATTTAAAATATTGATTTAAAATATGTAGTGATCTATCTTAAATCTAATTGTATTTTAAGAGCCTTTTGTTAGTAGAAATTGAAAATATTTTTTTTAAATGTTGTATATAGTGTTTCAGAACGCGTGTCCCTGAAAAAAAAATACCAGGAACATGGAAAAATGTTTAAAAAATTCTAGCAAAAAACTTTTATATTTATTTTTGAGATTCAAATTTTTTATGTCTTGTATACGTATTTGTAAATATTTTTTATAATTATTCAGGAAAGGTACAAAAACTTTCGCAATAAAAGCTACAAATAAAGTTTGGTGGTCAAATACAAAATTAAAGTAATCGCTTTATCTTCTATTGTCCACAACTAAAGTTTAGATCTTGTTGACATATTTTATAGCAGTGTGTTTTTAAGTCTGTAAAAATGTATGCAAATTATCTCTTCTCTGATTTTTCAGTGTGTGATTACCGAATAATAATGGGTTAAATCATGTTGATCCCATCATATTATGGTACAAACCTTGCTTACTACCCTATTTGACCATCAAACGAAGGTGACAATTATAAATATAAATCAAATGACAGCCTTTGGAGGATTTAGATGCTTGCGGAAATAATGAATAAATAATATGCGTACTTCACACACAACTGGCTTTATTCAAACTTTTTCCACATAACAAATGCGTAATAGCATGAAGAAAATTACTGTGTATTCTAATTAGTACAAATTAAGTAGTCTGACAGCAGATGATTCTATCAAAGGGTCAAATACTTACAGACAATGGTCATTGACAGACACCTTTGCCGCCGATTTATATTCAGAAGACGTTTAATACTTATATATATATATACGTGTCCTTGGGTAACAACAATGCACATGGATTTTTCCCTCAAAATCACGCTATTTTCACTAGAACTTATCGATTTAATGAAACCCTTCCAACTAATGAAAAATTCAAACTACAACAATCACATATTTGCGACATTAATCAAACGATATTATATTTGGAAGTTCATTGCCATTGGCGTTAAAATTATTTAAGTTTCCTGTCATCTACCGAAATTCATGGTCAATGCTTTTGTTCCCCAATCATTAGCTACGACCCACCGATGCAGTTGATGCAAAATCCTCAAAACATGTGTTCTTCATGAGTCAGATCGTTGCAAAGATATAAAGAATTAAACATCTGTGAGCAAGATGATCACGATTTCGCGTTAAAAATAATTATTATTTAATTGTGATGCAAAGACGGATTCTTGATTGTAGTTACAGTTTCGATTACCTAAAATCTATTATTCTGTCCGGCATAGCAGACAAGGCTGTTTTAAAAGGTCATTTAATAAAATGCCTGACACGCTATCCTGTAAAGGGAAACATTTTAATACTACTAGATAAAGAAAATTACGATGCAGCAAGTACAAATTTACGTACTTGCCATAGGTTAAAATTATAATATAACCTTTTAGACTACAGGAAAGAGATGTCTGTTTGTGGGGTATCCTAAGACCTTTAAATTTCTGTCCAAAGTGACCGTTATAGCAGACGTTTGCTCTTTCTGTTTAAAGGCAATTGACTTTTACGAATCACCGATTATGAATCGAACCACCCACCTATTTCCTTCTTTGTGGCAATATCGTACTTACTTAGAACCTGAATGAGTAAATACCTGTCGTGAGTCAGCCCGAATTAATTAACAAATGTAAAGATTGTCCAAGGTTAGTGTTACTACACCAGAAATTTTAAACAAAAATGTCAATTGACTTTTGTATTCAATAGGTGGAACTGTTTAGTTAGGCGAATCATAGGTTATTGCACTTAAACTTTGAAACAATTTATCAGGTATTTACGTGTAATCTTCGTTTTAAAAAAATTGTGTAAACAATGAGTGTAATTATAATTATTAATAATGCAACCAGAGTCTGTTTTAACGTTTCTAGATCAAATCATTTCGCTTGAGGCTTCAAGACACCTTCTTTGCTCTGAAAGTGAAACTTGAACTTGAACTTGACTGACACGTGTCGTCTATTTACAAGTTATTTGTTTTTAACAATAAAATTTGGGTGACTATACGTGCTGGCAAAATTTATGCATTTGATAGTTGATGATTCACTCAAGTAATCATATCCTTGGACTTGGAGTTAATTTATATTGGAAATTTGCTAAACAGGTTGTTTGACGAAAGAGTTAATGAAATATCATTGACGTGAGTCACTTTATCTTTTATTGTAAATAAATCACTTTTCACTTGTACTAAATAATTTTTTGGTATTGAGAAATACGAAAAAATCATTAGATAACAAGTGGTTACATGCAGAAAAATCGTTTATTATGTCACTGCTAAAAAAGACGAATTTGTGGTTTAATGCTTGGCGCATTACTTTCTCTACGTTTTCTAACGATTTGCTGTTATTCATTAATTACACCAAGTAAACAGTTTATCTTGTTTAAATAGTGTTTCAAAACCGGCAAATTCATGTTTCATAGATAAAAGTGTAACAAAGGTATTTCATCACGATGACAAATCTTCGAACCCTTTGAGAGTTTCGCCTAATTTTTCGAGTACTATAACGAAAATGAATCACTGTATACATATGTTATGTCAAAAATAGTATTGATAAAAAGTTATATTTTCTAGACTTTTATTCATATAAATTCAGGATGTTTCAGAGAAAAATTTCAAGAAAGATAAAATACCAGGAATATGGAAAAATGTTTAAAAGCAAATTATCTAAAAGTCTAATAGTGTTTTTAAAAAGGTATATCTCGGTAACTAAGAAACTTTTATTAGAATTATTAGAATTTTTTTTCACTATTAGTTATTATTTGGCATAACTTATCATACCCTAAAATTATGCGTATACGTTAAGATTCACTCTGTATCTGTCAAAAAATTTTGAGCTTAGATTTCAGCGTTTTCTTGCCATACTCCACGTGACTATATCTCTATCTTTGTTAAACAACAGCAATTCCTGTGTTTACTTTCCTTCTCTAAGTCTAATCATTGAGTATAGTAGAGTAGTAGGATATGAAAAATAAAAAATATCGGTTGTTGTGCAAAGAGGGGCTACAAAAAAGCTCGAAACGTTGCTTAAAAATCGCTCATATCATCTTCCAAATAAGTCTGGCGACTGCCAAGAAGAGAACCGCAATAATTTCTTCAGTAAGAATAAAGAAATTTAAATACAGTGGATATGTCTTGCAACTTACCATTCTGTCTATCTTCAATGGATAATTTTTCCTGTGGCAGCGAATAATCTTTCAAGCAATGCTGATACCTCAAGTCTTGCTCCCTAGCATGCCTCTCTAAAAGAAAAAATTCTATCTGAGGCTTCTTCCAAGGCATTAGCTAAACTAACTATCTCGTTACAGTAGCTAATTCTTTGTTCTTCTCCATATAACCAAATCTAGTTCATCTCGTAAAGTATCAACACTGCTATATGTTCATGAAGATTCGTTTTGCCAAGTGCACACTCTTGTTTCAAACACTCAATTTGTTGTTGTAATTGACTTTCAACAGCTGCTGCTTCTTTCAGTTGAGTTGTAAGACGTACATTTTGGGCGTTTAGTTCTGCGACGAAATTGCTTTTCGTTCTTCCCATTGTTTCAGTACAGATTCTTTCGTTGCTAGTTTACGTTTTAGGAGATGAGGGTTTTGCTCAACAGCCTGACAAAATCAAACTTTCAGTTTCGCTAGCATGAAAATTCTTCAGTGATTTAAATAAATAAAAGTTGAGTTGATTGTAAAATGTAGTTTGCAAATTGTACTGTAACTATAGGCCTCTGCAGCTTGTAGAAATCGTATCTGCCTTTAAGAAAGTGAGGTTATGTTTCATTTTCATGAAAATTTTCATTCTTCATTTCCGTATTCTTGAGTGAGCACACTGAATATGTAAAACACATCGGTCACAGTCACAGTAGTCACAATAGAGAGCACAGAATGCATAAAGGGCCCACACAATATTTTTATTAGAAATTGGAATTATCTTATGAATGAATGTAAACCGAATCAACAAATTTTGCTATTTTTGAATGAAACTGAAGTCTAAAGTGATTGGTTTCACCATGGTTACGCACATTATTATAATGATGGCCGACCTCAAACGGGCCAATCACACCGTTGCATAAAATTTTCGAATGATGCCAAAAATTAAGTTGATTGGTTTTTTACAAAAACATAATGGCCGACTTTAAACGGCCCAATCACAATGCTTACTACTTTTACAATAATTTTCAATGTTAAGTCATATTGTTTGTTTTTAGAAAGTGCGATTTTGGCTAGCAAATATTTCGAAAACTATTTGAAATACAAAACAAACTTGTAAAGACCAAAAATACTGATAAAGTTCTTGATGAATAAGTTTATTAACACCAAAATTTTACAATAATTTAAACAAAATAAAATATAATTAAGAAAATTATGCATTATCAATCTTTTTAAAACAAAACAAATGACCATTAAAATAGCCTCAGGAAAAAAACCGGCTTATGGAATTAAAAATTAAACTCTAAATTAAGTTAAATAATTATACAAAATAAAAAGTTTATTTACTCAAACGACAGATTAATCACGAACTCGATTACAATTAAATAATTAAATTAAAAAAAAGTCAATTTATGTACAGAAATGAACAACAAAAATTCGAAACATTTGAAAACTTTTTTAACGTAGTCGTATTGCCCAATAATTTTTGTTCAGATTTTGTACATTTTACTAAAAACTCGCTTTAAGCATTGTTTCAATTAAATAAATATGTTACAAAAGACAATTAAAAATTTAGATACTCTAAAAACTAGTTTACTATAAAAAAAATGAACAGAAAAAAATGCAAAAAGCTGTATAACTAATTTTGGTGTGATTGTTCCAGCTGTATTTATCTCAGTATGGTTACTTGGGCGGTAGCACGCGAAGTCTTAACTCGAGTGCCCTAACAGACGAGCGAGTTTTGCGAAAAGCCGTCGAGGAGTTCCAGAGTTTTGCCGGACTTGATGTCACAGGTAAATATCATCAAATCACGTTAAATATGTCAGAGCAAGTAATAACATGGGTAATTATAGATGCACTTCCTTTGTGTAATTATCGCTTTAACAATTTCATAATTTTTGTATGTGGGTTCAACAACTAAGGTCATGCTGATCATGATGGTACTTGTCCCAATTACCAAACATTTGATTTTTTTTGCAGGAGAGTTGGACGATCGAACTCTCAAAGAAATGCAACTTCCCCGATGTGGAGTCAAAGACAAAGTCGGAACTGGAGACAACCGTGCCAAGCGTTACGCTCTACAGGGTGAGTCATTTGATTCGCACATCGTTTATTTTTCAATTTGCGAAATTGTTGCAACAATCAGGATAAATTTCTCGTTCACTGGTAGGAGATTTGGTCCATTGCGTAGCACACAAGAGCCATTCAAAGCCTCTAAAACGTTGTTCGTTCATTAATTTCAACTCAGTTAATGTCATAAACGCGATAAATCTCGCCTTCGCACCGGAAATTCCTCATAAAAACAATTTCACACAATATGACTAATTTCAGGTAGCAGATGGAAGGTCAAAAATCTAAATTACAAGATCTCAAAGTACCCCAAAAATCTCAACACGAAAGAAGTGGACAAAGAAATCCACAGGGCGTTCTCAGTCTGGTCTCAGTTCACCGACTTGACCTTTACTCCGTCCAAAGGTGGGGTCCACATTGAAATCAGATTTGAATCTGGAGAACATGGAGATGGGGACCCTTTTGATGGTCCTGGTGGTACTCTCGCTCACGCTTACTTCCCGGTACGTCCCATTTTGACCCATTTGTGACTTTTATTAATAGTTTTGGTTAGGTGTTTGGAGGCGATGCTCACTTCGACGCTGCGGAAAAGTGGACCATTGGCAGCTACCGCGGCACCAACCTCTTCCAAGTAGCCGCCCACGAATTTGGACATTCACTCGGTTTGAGTCACTCTGATGTGCGGGAGGCCCTCATGGCACCGTTTTATCGGGGTTATGAGCCTCTTTTCGAGCTCCACGAAGACGACATTCAAGGAATCCAAGCTTTATACGGGAAGAAGACACGGAAAACTAACGGAGGTGGTGGTGGTGGTTTTGACGATTCGGACTTTCAAGGAAGCAATACTCCTAGTCATAAAGTTCCAGCACCGGCTCCAACTCCAGTCGATACAAACTTGTGCAAAAATCCGAAAATTGATACAATTTTCAATTCCGCTGAAGGCTACACTTACATCTTTAAAGGAGACAAGTACTGGAAGTTGACGGAAGAGAGTGTGGCTCCGGGTTACCCTAAATTAATCTCTAATGGTTGGCCCGGACTTCCCGGAAACATCGATGCGGCTTTCACTTACAAAAACGGCAAAACTTACTTTTTCAAAGGTTCGAAGTACTGGAGATACAAGGGTCGTAAAGTGGACGGAGACTATCCGAAGGAGATTTCGGAAGGTTTTACCGGAATTCCGGATGATTTGGATGCCGCGATGGTGTGGAGTGGCAATGGCAAGATCTACTTTTTTAAGGGTGCAAAATTCTGGAGGTTTGACCCGTCGCAAAGGCCTCCAGTCAAGTCAACGTATCCTAAACCGATCTCTAATTGGGAAGGAGTTCCTAATAATTTAGATGCTGCCTTTAAGTGGACCAATGGTTACACTTACTTCTACAAAGGCGATGCCTATTATCGATTCAACGATAGGGCATTCGCTGTTGATAAGGCTAATCCGGCCTTTCCTAGGGCGATAGCGTATTGGTGGTTAGGGTGCAGTAGTGCACCACAAGGAACCATCGGAACGAGTGAGTCCAGAGGGGGGCTCCTTGATGAAGAGAGCAATCAGGATTATGCAGGAAGTGATACTTTAGACACAGGTAGGCAACAAACTTAACAAAGTTTGGTCTAACTCTTACTAATTGTATAAATATAGACTGTTAAAAATTGATTAATGGATAGCTCTCTTCATCAAGTATGTAAATACATTTTTATTGCTTTTTCGCACGACTTTGGTACCACCATTGCTTGACTAATCCTAATGTAAAGCACTAATTGTGTAATTTTCACCTCATAACTCACAGCTTGTTGCACGAATTGTTGTACTGTGTAAGTGGCACGCAGAAGCATGAGTTTTTGATCCAGTATTATATGAATATACCTTTCTTTTTTAAATTTATTTGTGACTTATTTTGGGTATATTCATGTAAATGCACTTTTGAGTTTGCAGAAGTAATTAGTTGGTTATTTTATTAGTTTTTCAATTAATTAATGGGCTCGGCTACATTGCAGAAAACTACCGCCGTCCTGCCAGCCACTGAAGGGCAGCCGAAAATCATTTATAAGTATGTGTTGTCCCTCATTTTATCATAGGTAGAGTTTGCTTGTCACTTCACTCTGTAAATTGTTGCTGTAGCTTCTTTTTGTAAAAAAATTCGAAGCTACATTTTTGTTAAATGTGTAAATGTTTAGTGATTGTGACTGAAATACAACACAAAAATTGCCAATTTTTGAGTTGGGGTAGTAGTTCTGGTTTTGTAACATTTCATTTGTTTTTAAAGGTGAACATCATGAACAAACTCCATTACCTGATGGGGACGTGTCGGATCCTCAGTTTTACCAACGAGAAGGCGGAAATGGGAGTGGTGTTGCCAAACCATCCGTAATACCCTTAGTTTTGATGTTAGTGTACGTTCTCCTTCGGCAAAATGTAGGATAATTGAGAATATTTCGTTTTATAAACGAGACAGCTCAGACTGAGAACTTTAACTAATTTACTGCGTTTGTGTGGTGATAACATATCGGTGAGCAACTGTGCATCTATACATTTCATTCATAAGCGCCGAAACTGTAAGGTCCTTGGGACTTTCGCCCCCCTACCACATCTTACAAGTCATAACTTTTACTTTAGTATATTTGCAGTCGTACCAGTATGGTTTATTTAAAAAAGATACAAGGTCATCACAAAGTTAAAAATCGATTTATGTTAGAATTATTTCAAACTCTCATTAAGTAAAAATGTATTTATTTAATGTTTAATTTAATCCAATTTGGACAGAAAATGTGTATTTGCAATCAACACCCAACTAAAAGATTTTTTAAGGTAACCAAAAATTTAAAAAGACGTTTTACCTAAATAATTAGGTTGACTCATATTCATAAAGATGCAAAACTTAAAAAAACCAGATGATGTATTTTAAAATTGTTGATAGTATAATTATAAATGCAAAGTTTTAAATGGTTCAATAAAGGCGTTTATTGTTTGTTATTCTTTCACAAATAAGAAAATGATTTAACTTCAACGTTTCTTGATATTGTCTCGTTGTCCCCTAGCGATTTTCAAAATCCGGCGCTTATGATTTCATTTATAATTTATTGAAGTCAATGGATCATATTTTTATAATGCTCGTTTTACCCTAACATAGCGTTAATATTGTGCAATTGTGATTTGTTGTTGTTTCAAAAGTCACTGGTTGCAAATGTTGTAAATGTTCTTTTATTTTTTAAGTAATAAAATATTTCAAAATAGACATTGAATTTTATTTCAAATTTGATGGAAAAAGAGTGAGCTCTGCATGTACATACGAGTATGTCACTTAATTTGGATTCTGGAGATTTGATTTTTGAAAATATTCAGGGTGATTCAAAAGTCTCGGACCATCTCTTAGGTGGTGATAAAGGACATCCGACTGAGTTAAAAGTTTCCATGACAAAAAGTTGTTTGAGTTTTTTTTCCACGAGATATAACTAAAAAATTTTGACTGTTCCGCTTATGTAATCTTGAAATTAGTTACCGGAAACGACAGATCTTGTAAGACTGAACAGATACCTGTTGAAAAAAATCTCCAATTTGTGTCTTATGGTGTAAAAACATTTAACAAACTAGCAAATTCAACAATAAACTAAATCTAACAACATTGGAAACAAAAAGACTAAGATGCCTACATAATAATAATATGAAAATTGACCGTTTTGCTTTTCTCAAAAAAAAAATTAAAATTTGAATTCATTTTTATGCTTATCTGAAGGTCTTCTTTCTATTCGAGAGTTGGTCCGACATTTTTTAATCACCTTGTATTTGCGTAAGTTGGTAATAGTTGCCGTTCAATAGGAGTGAAGTTAAGGATTTTGCGGATACATATTGGTTATTTATTATAAATGCTTTCTTTTTTAAAGTTCGAACGAACACAAGTCTTAAATTTTCTTCCTCTGCTGTGGTGAGTAATTTATGTAAGTAGATATAAAATTTGAATTACATACTAATCTAAAAATGTTCGGGGAAAAAATTAAGTTCACAAATTTTAGGAAGAGTTTTCCTTACACAGTTGCGTGCAATATATTTTGGTCATCATCTCATTTTTTGTTATTCTTTGCTAAGTTGTAACTTTTTAATGAGTAAAGACAGAAAAAAATATTTAAACTTGAAAAATCAGTCACAAAGAGTAAAAACAGCTTTTTGTGACACTGACGACCAAAATAAACTTGCACGCGACTGTATCTTCAAAAGAAACAAGTGTTAGAATTTGTTGAAAAAGAGTGTGGTTCCGGGTTACACCAAATTAATCTTCAGAGTTGGCCCGAACTTGCTCGAACCTACTTGATGTAGGTTTAGCTTATAAAAAAGACAAAACGTACTTTTTTAAATCCTCGAAGTACTGTAGATCTAAGGATCGTCAAACGGACGCGAACCATATGAAAGGAATTTTGGAAAGTTTTCCAGGAATTCCGCATGATTTAGATGTAATGGCAAGATCTACTTCTTCAAGGGTGTGAAACTTTGGTAGTTTTATCCGTTGTAATGTGTCTAGAGCGATAACATATAGTAGAAGTTAAAAACAGCCTGTATAATCTAGAAATCTGCTTTTTGAAAATCTCATTTGCTTACGTTTGTGATTTTTAGCGATCAAGGTTATCGAAGGTGATCGTTGTTAAATGTTTCTCCAATATTGGTTACTGCTTATAAATATTCCTATTTGGAGTTTGAAAACAAATAAGAGTATTACAATAATTAAGTTGTTTTGAATATTATAATTTAACAATGCGTTACGTAATCATTATAGTTTTCATTAGCAATTTTGTAAATCTCATCGGAACAGAATCGTCTATTGTGGTGAGTTTTTTAAAATTGTAGATAAAACTCCAAACTTCTTGGACAAAACACGTTTCATGACAATAAAATTAGGTTTTGAAAATAAAGACAAATTATTTTAGGACAATTATTTGTGTCAAAATCCAAGAATTGATACGATTTTCAATTCCGCTGAAGGCTCAACTTACATTTTCAAAGGAGACATGTACTGGAAGTTGACGAAAAAGAGTGTGGCTCTGGGTTACCCTAAATTAATCTCTAATGGTTGGCCCGGACTTCCCGGAAACATCGATGCGGCTTTCACTTACAAAAACGGCAAAACTTACTTCTTCAAAGGCTCGAAGTATTGGAAATACAGGGGTCATAAAGTGAACGGACACTATCCGAAGGAGATTTCGGAAGGTTTTACCGGAATTCCGGATGATTTGGATGCCGCGATGGTGTGGAGTGGCAATGGCAAGATCTATTTTTTCAAGGATGCGAAATTCTGGAAGTTTAATCCGTCGCAAAGGCCTTCAGTTGATTCAACATATCCTAAACCAATCTCTAATTGGAAAGGAGTTCCTAATAATTTAGATGCTGCTCTTAAGTGGACCAATGGTTACACTTACTTCTTCAAAGACGATACTTATTATCGATTCAACGATACGGCATTCGCTGTTGATAAGGACAATCCGGCTTTTCCTAGGGGGATAGCATATTGGTGGTTAGGCTGCAGTTATGCACCACAAGGAACCATCGAAGCGAGTGAGTCAAAACTGTCAAAAGGGTGCGTCCTGTATGAAGAGAGAGATCCGGATGATGAAAAAAGTGATACTTTAGGCACATGTAGGTGCTAGGCAACAAATCTAACAAAGTTTGGGCTGACTTACTAACTGTACACATAAAATGTTAAAATTTGAGTAATGGAGACGTCAATTACAGTTGTCAAGACCAAAAAGTTACTTTTAATAAGTCAGTAAATGTTATTTCAAGCAATACAGTATGTTTAAAAGTAAACGTTGGGTGTTATTTCATCTTTGATTAAAAAAATGGCGTGAGATTATTAGGAAATCTAGAAATCTGCACTTTAGAAATCCCATTTACGTACAATAGTTTCATAAAAAACGAGACAAGCTATTTTACATCATGTAACATTGTTATCGTATGACAAAAATTGCCAACTAATTCAAAGATTTGCAATACGAAAGAACTGCAGGAATTGGCCTTACAACATGGAGTAGGCAAAAGTACGATTGAAAAAATTAAGTTTAAATGGCAAAATTGGCAAAATAAACGAGAGAGATTGATGTAGCCTACCATTTTATTGACATATTTTTTTAACCTCGCTATTTAAATTCCGTAACAATCTATGAAAAACATTGATACAGGGACGTTTACCTTAATGTCATTGCACTGTTATTTATTAAACCAATTGTACGTTTGTGATCTTTAGCGTTCAAAATATTCGAAGATGATTGTACTTAATGATTTCTTTACTATTGGTTATTTATTGCCCTTTACTGGTTTAAATATTAAAATACATTTTTAAACAGAGTTAGTAATATTAAAGTCAACTCCACAAATCGATAAATTTTTATTTAGTCAAGTTGGGACATGTTTCGGTACCCTTGCGCCATCATCAGTCTTATATTAACAAAACAAAAAGACGCCTTAAGTAATAAATTATCTTAATACAATATGATTTACCGTTGAAAATTGTTACACTTTAAAATAAAAAATTCACAAGATTAAAAAATTGAAATGTTCACTGTTAAAAATTTTTCCTGATTATAACCAATGGAAAAATATACAGAAGGAATAGGATTTAAACATTATTCCTCTGTAAAAAGCAAAAGGAGGAGGTCAGTGAAGCTGAAGCCTCGCCCGTGAAAAATTTTGGAGAAAGATAATAACATAACAATATTATCATTCTCCAAAATTTTTAATCCAAAATATAATCTTTGAAGAGCTTTATCTCGTGAAAGAAGACTCAAACAATTTTTTGTTATGGGTACTTTTAACTCAGTTGGATGTCCTTTATCACCATCTATAAGAGATGGTCCGACACTTTTGAATCACCCTGTATGTACTTTTTTCTTACTACTTCCCAACTGACACCTTTTGAGTTATTTTTCTCTCTCACTCCAAAATCATTTTTTAAAATTTTATCATAAACTTGTTTATTACTTTTTTAACTACATACAAAGCTTTGATGTTTTGTTGTTTATATTATTTTCATTTTACATATTATTTATTTGTATATTTTAATTGAAAAAGAGTTTAAATTATCATGTTTTGTATTTTTTTATAATAAAAGTTTTATAAGTTATCTAAGCATGAGAAGGTCATATGTTAACCATAATTGATTAAAAGTTTTCTATAAATACTAAGAGGAAGTTATTGGAATTCATCACCACGTTTGATGAAATATGAAACGTTATTTAATAAATTTTATTTTCCTTATTTTATGTGTACATTTTTCTCATGAAAAACCTTTGGACGTAAAGGTAGAGTATGTCAAGTAAAAAATCATTTAAAAAAAATTGTATCGAGTAATTTCAGCAACAACTTTTCGAATATGGCTTTATGTCCTCTTTGGAAGAAGACCCAGAAGTTTTAAAAACGGCATTAGAAAAGTTTCAAAAAGTATATAGCTTGCGACTAACAGGTAAAAGTAGAAGAATATGTAACATGGGGCAAATAGGTTTGTTATTTCAGGTAACTTAACTGAAGAGACAATAAAGAAAATGTCATCTCCTCGTTGTGGCAAAGCTCCTAAGCTCCGAACAAAATATCTAAGTATGCATATATTTTATATTACCTAAATAAAATAACACGTATTTGTTAGCTTATAAATGGTCGAAATCTCACATAACGTATAAAATAAAAAACTGGACGGCTCCTTTTACAGAATCTCTACTTAGAGATACATTTGAGAATTATATTACACAGTGGACAGATAATATTAACCTTAAAATTACCGAATCAACTTCTAATAAAGCTGACATTGAAATCTATTTTTCAAAACAGGATGGAATGAAAAAAACGCTTGGTTATGCCTATTTTCCGGTATTTGCCAGAAAAATGCGTCTTATACAGAGTGCGCCTGAACTCACGCCCCAGAAAAAATTCCATGTAAGGTAAGATACCAGGAACATGAAAAAAATCTTAAACAAATTCTATTTATAAAAATTTAGAAGTTATGAGAGTTTAAATTCTGCACTTTGACTTGAAAAAAAACCATATACAAGATCATCAGTATCATTAAATAAACATAATATAACAAATATAAATAACATAATGACAAAATTTTTTGTCAGATAGAATTTTTTAAATATTTTTTGTATTTTCTTGGTATCTTATCTTACTTGAAATTTTCCTCTGGGGCGCAAATTTTGACACACCCTATATTTAGATGACAAACCGATTATTATAGGAAGTTGGTGACATATTTTTTGATCAAGATGAACAATGGACTGAGTTTTGGGAAGACAGTGATAGAATTTATTTTGGTTGGGTTGCAGCTCACGAATTGGGTCATGCTTTGGGACTGCCCCATGTGAATTCTGAAAGTTCTATCATGAATCCTTATTATACAAATACTGTGACGAATCCATCAATATCTGACCTTAACAAAATTAAATCATTGTATGGGGAAGCAAAAGTAAAGAATAGCGGTTTATGTGAACAAAAAACCGTAGATGCGTTATTAAAAACCGAGAACATTATGCTGTATCGAAATACTGGATAATTTCTAATAATACTGCTCAAAATGGACCATTTCCTCTTAAACTAGACTATGAAGAGTTACCTGATAAAGTAGATGCTGCTTTTTCGGTAAAAAATGTTGTATATTTCTTCAAAAACAACAAGTTTTTTAAATTCATAAGAGGAAAAAAAGATTTTGTGAAGAAACTCATTTCAGTTGGTTTTGAAAAGTTACCAAATAATATCGACGCCGCTTTTTTTGATCCAAGTGCTAATTACATTTATTTTTTTAAAGGTTTAGTAATTTTCAAAATTTCATTTTATTTTCACGTGTGTTTTAGGGTCAAAGTATTATATTTTTGATATTTACGAAAAAATAGGAAAACGACTTATTGCAAAAAATAAGATTTCCAACGACTGGCCAGTTCCTGACAACATTGAAGCTGCAACTTTATGGGATAATTCAAGAGTTTTATTTATTAAAAATTTTATGTGTTATACTGTAGATTTGACTACAAAAGAACTTTTGAGTGAGCAAAGTTGTTCCAATCTTTATAAATGCTGATTCAATAAATAATGAATAATAAATAAATAATGATTTTTTAAGGTTTGACTATATTTTTTTCTATAAAGTGTACGTAGCTAACATAATACTTTTTGAACCTTATTACACAAACAATTATTATTTTTGATTTAATTTTAGCTACTACAAAACTTAAAATTTCTACTGAATGTATTTATTTAAATAAAAATAATTGTTTTTGGATTAATTTATTGAAATGTTGAAAATATATTTGATAATAGCTATCAGTCGTTAAACATTTTGGGATAAAAAATTATCAGAATAACATTACTTATCTGTAATGGTTTTGAAAAGTCATATGTTAAGAATAATTATTTCATTATTTAAAGTTTATTCAGTTTTAAGCGGAAATATAAGCCAACACATCTTGCAAAATATGTGGCAGAAATTAATACGACTTGTAGTTTTTCTTTTTACTTTAATGCATTTCTCCCATGAGAAAAATTTTGATGTAAAGGTATTCACGTCGAAAGACATCAAAATGTGTCAAATTCCATTGTTTTAATTTAAGCATTATCTCTACGAAAATGGTTATTTGAAATCTTCTGTTGTTGACCCAAAAGTTTTAAAATCTGCAATAGAAAAATTCCAGGAAAATTACTGCTTAACCGTAACTGGTAAAAAATACTTATTTCTTATTCTTAAAAACGTTTGTATAATTCCAGGGAACATAACTGAAGAGTTGATAAAGAAACTATCGTCTTCTCGTTGTGGCCTACCTTCAAACCTTCGCATAACTTATGATAATTATCGTATGAAAGTACTTTTGAGTGATTCAAATTTTTCATAAATTTATTTTTCAGAAGGTATGTGGTCACACACTCACATAACGTACAAAATCAAAAACTGGACAGTTCCTTTTACAGAATCGGTAATTAGAGACACATTTGAGAAATATATTACAGAATGGACAGATAAAATTAACCTTAAAATTACCGAATCGAAGTCCAACAAAGCTGACATTGAAATTTATTTTACAAAACAGGATGGACATCTAAAAAACCTTGGTTATGCTTACTTTCCGGTATTATTACCTTGAATACGTCTAATACCAAAATATAAAACGGCAAAGTGATTATTACAGACCGATGGTGACATATTTTTTGATCAAGATGAAGAATGGATCGACTTTAGGGAATACAGTCATCGAATTAATTTTGGTTGGGTTGTAGGTCACGAATTGGGTCATGCTTTGGGTTTGACTCATGATAATGATTCCTGCGAAAGCATCATGAGCACAATTTATGACAGTGACATTGTCAGACCATCAAGCGAAGACCTTGACAAATTGAAATACCTATATGGCGCGGCAGAATTAAATACTAGTCTTCTCTGTCAACCAAAACCAATAGATGCAGTTTTGAAAACTAAGGACATTATTCTTATTAAAGGAAAGAAGTACTGGACAGTTTGCAACAACACTGTTCAAGCTGGACCATTTTCTCTAGAACTAGAATATGCAGAATTACCTGATCAAATTGATGCTGCTTTTTCGGTGAAGAATGCTGTTTATTTCTTCAAAAATAATGTCTTTTTTAAATTTATTAAAAGAAAAAACAATTTTGTGAAAAAACTCATTTCGGTTGGTTTTGAAAAAGTACCAGATAATATTGATGCTGCATTTTTTGACTCAAATGACAACTATATTTATTTTTTTAAAGGTTAGTTAGTTATTTCAAGATAAAAAATTATTTATAAGTGTTTTTTAGGGTCAAAGTATTATATCTTTGATGTTTACAAAGAAATAGGTAAACGACTCATAACAAAAAACAAAGAGATTTCAAACGATTGGCCAATCCCTGACAATATTGAAGCTGCGACTTTATTGGATAATTCAAAAGTATTATTTATTAAAAATTTTACTTGCTATACTGTAGATTTAGCAACAAAAGAGCTCGCAAGTAAGCAAAGCTGTGCCCATTTTTATAAATGTTGATAAAACACAAAAGACAAAAAATTACTATGTTTTTGGATGGATAAAATACAACGAGTACAGTTAGATTTTATTTTTAATTCCCCATTTCCCCTACGTGAATCTAAAATTAAAAAAACAATTTTTCGGTAACAAAATTAATTCAAAATTAATTTTATTCTTCTAAGAGATTAAGACCAGTGCCTTCAAACCTCTTGTGCATCCAATACCGAAATTGTGCAATAAGCTCTGGTGACATTGAATTTTTATAACCCCCAACTTTCCCAGCTCTGATAAACGGTGCTTTAACTTCGCTTCCTGATGATACAAGGATTTGATTTACACTTTCCTTATTTACAGCTGGATTTTTTTTCATAGAATCAAAAGAAACATGTTGTTGTAAGCGTACACTATCTTCCTTGGATAAAGTTTTGCCAAGCAATTTTGCAACTTTTTGCAAAACTCCAGGCAAGTCTTTTTTCATTTCTTCATATGTTAGAAACAGAATATTTGATTTGCTTCTGTGTTCCCAGAATGACAAAACATGTTTCCAGTATGGACCATAATTAACTAAAACAAACCAAAAATAATACAGTTTACAAAACAAACTTTAGTTTCACTTTTATCAAAAAGAAATAGTCTGCAAAACTCTTCAAAAGTGCCACTGAAGCCTTCATAATTGGCACATTGGTGGTAATAAGACACACACGTATCCATTGGATTTCTAGCAGTACAAATAATCTACAAAAATTTCTTTGGTTTTAAATTACAAATGACCGAATTTCATACTCTTGGTTTTTTTGAACCGTTCAAAATCTGTTCTGGCAAGAGAGGGAACGGTAAATGCGTCTTAATTGATCTTGGGTGTTTTTGATCTTTGGCGAATCCTACTGAATCAAGTTCGTAGGGTTCACCACCGAGAAGTGTTCCTCTGCTAGTATCAAACAATATGCTAAATCTGCAAGAATATGTTGTTTTGCAATTATAATTCACTTTTTACTTCTTACTCTAGCATTCTAGTTCGTTTGAAATCTTCTGCTTTCGCTCCTTCGTAATCCAAATCGTTTGCAATCAACCAGGAGATTTCAGAAATCCATGTTGTTCCAGTTTTAGGAAATCCACAAATCCACAAATCGGTATCAAAAACTTCATATTCTTTGATAACTTTTTCAAATTCGCGATAGCGTTCTGGCAACACAAAATCTTGTACAGTTATGTAGTTTGGTCTGAGATTACTTGTGAATGTCTTTTTCAACAGCTTGTTAAGTTCTTCTTCAGTGGGAACAGTTTTAACGTCCATTGTTGGAGGAATCTGTACACAACTGAAAATGATTTAATGTTATCTAAATGTATTTTAGTTTCCAAGCAAAAACGTAAAGAAGATAAAGTATTTTTTCTGCATTATCTACTTGACACAACTGCAATAAAATTATTATAAATACATATTCATTATGCACTTTTGATCATCTCAGTTTGTGTCACTTTCGAAATAAATCGTTGCTCCTTATTCTAATAGGAAAATTGCGCATTTTTATTATTTAATATTTCTTTATTTATATATTGAAATATAGAAAACATTATGAAATATAGATGCCTACGTTTTAGTTTTAAAATTTTATTATTTAACTATAAATTTTTTTATTATTATCTTGCACATTAGGTAAATATTTCAAAAACGAACTAAAGTAAATACGCTATTAAGCATTATAATTATCTAAAAATGGTAATCCCTAAACAAACTTAAGAAAACAACTAAATTTAATTTTATTTAAATAACAGACAATACTTACCTCAGATTCTACGGTCAATATTTGTGGAAACAATATGAAATTTCAAGCAAATGTATGTATAGATTCAGTATTATAACTTTAATGTATGTGAATATTTCCTACCGATATTTTCATTATTTATAGCTATTATTATCTTGCCTACAAAAGTTTAAAAAATATTTTTTGTCTAATTTATTTATTGACTTGTCATGTTTGTTTGAGAATTTATGTTTAATAATTATTTGTGAAATACTACTTTTGTTTTACAGTAAATTAGAACAAAAATTAGAATTAAAAACAACGTTTTAAAGTAAAATGAAAAATTTAAATTTATCATGAACGGTAAATAAGCGATTAGCACAATTCCTAAACAATAAAGGACGGTTATATTTTCTAAGTAAACAGTATAAACTGTAAATGGGTAAGTACTTATACACTTATTTATAATTCAAAAGTCAAGAATTTTACGTAGAATTTTAATAAATAAAGAACTATTAATGTTGTTATACCCAGATTTGTTTTTAACATTTTAGACAAAAAATTGGTCTTAACACTAACAAAGTGATTATGTTTTAGTACTCGTACAATTAAATATTACTGTTTTATAAATTAAATATAAATTTAATTGTGCACGCAATTATCAAAGTACTAAGTTACATGTCTATAAAATAGTAAATTGTTGTAAATTAATCTTTTTTATAAATAATGTTCTCATAAGATATTTTTTCATTTAGCAAAAATAAAAAAAACGTTTTAATTTCAAAAAACATTTACTGTAACAAAATTTAAAAAAATGTATAGAAAAACAACCAAACGTGTTTCTACATTTAAATAAAACAATCTGGAAAAATAAAAAATGTTAAAACTTCTGTTTATGCATATCTTGAATCTGAAGCCTTTTATATTTACGATCGCTGTAAATAAATATCTTTACTATTAACGATACAAAAAACGATAAAAATTAATTGATTAGTTTATGAATGATTTATGTTAGTTGTGTTTAGTGTGAATCTTATAATTTATAAATGTCTTATAAAACGTTTATTCTCACTCTGCTTTGAGAAAAAAACGCAACACAGAAAATAAATATTTTTTTTATTAGATACATTTCTGTTGGCGTGTTCTAATCTCTAGTCACATTTGGGTACAATCTTAGTAATGTGTCTTATGTCTTATCAAGATCTTAATGTCTATCAACCTCATTTTTAAACAAAATCCTAAATCTTATTTTACACAAAGTAATAAAGAATGACTGTTTGAGTTGGCAATTTTAATTTCTTTGTTATTAAAAAATTGACTCATTTACTGGTTAACCAAAGCCATACACGGTTGCAGTATTGCAAACAGCAAAAAAAGAAAATGTTTTTAACCCCCTTGCTTTTTTACTTGATTACCTTGTACAGGGTGTTTGCGGACTATGAACAAATATTTTAACCACTAAAATAATTTATTATGAGAAGACAATTTAAAGACCAAACAAATTCTGTATCCAATTTTTTTTTAGGTAGAAGTAAAAATAATCGCCATTGAATGTATACCGTGAAAGTTTTTATGCACAAAAAAAAGATAACTTTGTGTCAGTTATTTTCTAACCAATAATCAGTTGTTAACGCACTTTCTTCTGCACATCGATTTGAATTCAAATTATAAATCAAGTCATTACGACCGAATTGACTAGTGTACGGGCATGACTTCCAAGACCGATTTTCATTAAATGTTTGGGCATGGATCATTGAAGATCACCTAATTGGACCCCACATTTTGCCTCAACGTTTAAGTAGTGCGGTTTATCTGGATTTTTGGACAATGTGTTGGTTATCTGTTGGAAAACGTGCTTTTGGCAACATAGAGGGAAATGTAGTATTTACAAAATGGAGCTCCACCACATTATGCTAGAGTTGTCATCAATTAGTTGAATAATCATCTTTCCGAAAGATGTTCGCCAAGAGCACCAGATTTAAATCCGTGTGATATTTTTGTGAGGTCACATGAAACACTTAGTGTACGCAGTTCCAATTATTGCTCTCGAAGAGCTGATCGATCGTGTGATGCAAAAAACCGCAACAATTAGAAATCACGCGGGGATGTCTGTGAGAACACAAGTTTCCCGGGCCCGAAGGGTTCAAACATGCATTGCCAATAAAAGACAACATTTCGCGCAATTTTTATAACCGCTAGTATTGACCCATTTACATTGACAACGAATGTAGTGATAATTTTTTTGTCTTTACGCTGTTTACATTTCATATTTTTTTCTTATGAATGAATGTACACACAACCAAACTTATATGAAATCACCCTGTAATTTATATTATAAAGTCTTTTGCGTATTGTTTCCACTGAAACACTAACACTGGTAGCTTGCAAAAGTTGTCTTTGGAGCTCTGAATACAAAACAGTCGGGTTTCTTCTTTCAATTTGACATAAAAAACGGTTTTGCTGCTTGGACGTTACCCTTTGACGTCTTTGTGTTAAGGCATAGTAATACATAAACTAACTTTACAGGATATTAACATGAACTAAATTTTAGAAGTAAACTTAAATATCATGACTGAGTCCATATTTTTAATAACTTTTCCTAGTCTGATTAATATTTTTTATCACTAAACATCGTCTTTTCCTATACACCACGTCTTTTTTGTTGGAATATATTATTAATATGAGTTATAGGGTGATTCCATATAAGTTTGCTTGTGTGGAAAAGTAAAGTTGTTTCTCTTGACCAATTCTATTGGTGGTTAGAAAATTTACTTGCAATCCCCAAACATCCGGTATAATAAATTTGCTGAAACTTTTGAATGTTTTTTTAACAAAGAGTGTATAATAGTAGCACCGTTATAACATTTGATTTGCCTCACCATTATAAAATAGCCAATCACATATCGCGTGTTTCAAAAATGTGTGGCATAATTTTAACCACGAATACCCCTCTACAAATGAGAATAGAGAGCACAGAATTTATTGACTTAACTCAAAAAATAGAAAAATTACAGCTTTCCAAAAATCGGTATGGAAAATGATTTTTTGGAAATATTTTTGTTATCGTTTACCCGATTATTATGAAACTTTGCATGTCAAGGGACAAAAAGACACTCTTTGATATGGTGTAAACGGAAGTCTT